AATGTTGGTCCTGAGCTAACATCTGTTGCCAATCTTCCTCTTTTTGCTCAAGGAAGATTGTCCCTGAGCTAACATCTGTGGCAGTCTTCCTCTACTTTGTATATGGGATGCCTGCCTCGGCATGGCTTGATGAGCAGTGTGTAGGTCCACGCCCAGGATCTGAACTTGCAAACCCTGGGCTGCTGAAGCGGAACATGTGGAATTAACCACTATGCCACTGGGCTGGCCCCTGGTCTCTTTAGCTTTTAAGACATCAGCATTAATTGATGTTGAAAAACAATATAGTAATTAAAGTCAAAACTTGCTACTCTCTACTTTTTTTTGATAAAGTGAATATTTCATGTAATTACCATTCACATGGTTTCTCTTGGTATTTATTCTAACTGCATTATTCTGTTCACATTATATTTTAGGACGTATCTTAACGTCTAAGTCCCTCTTTTAATATTGTAAGTCCCTCATAAATTAGTACCTCACTCTATTGTCTTAATAAAAAAGTCAATACTACCTCCTGAAAAATTTCTCAGACCCTCCCAGCAACTCTGTACAGTGGGTATTGTTGTTCTTATTTAATAGGCACTGAGGTTCAACAAAGTGAACTGATGTTTCTAAGTTTAATAAAGCAAATGCACCAGGTTTGCTTATTGTGGAGGTTTGCTTATTTTTGGAGTCGGGCTGAAGCTTTAGTAGGGCTCAAAATAGTCATAGTTTAGTAGATCTTTAAATTCATTTATTTAGTTACTCTTGTATGCTTCTGATACGCAGGGTCCTAGAACCTCTCTTTTAAATAAAGCATCTAACTGATCTTCTGAAAATGAATTTCTTGTCCTCTCCTCTGTGTCTAGACTTTGGTTTGTGAACCTGACCCTCAGAAGGAGCCACGATTTTCTTTACAACTTCCTGACTGATCTGCTGTCAGCCCATTCTCCTACTTGGAGGGAACCCATGGACCTTCTCAGGATACCTTCTCAGGATAAGGACGTTATCAGGATACTTGCCTGATTGGACTTTTGTTTCATCAAGTGGAAAGAAAGTATTTATTTAACACAAAAATTGAGTAAACATACAATGCTTTCCAAGGAGGGAAAAAAGATCCATATTCCATGGGAGTACTCATTAATCAATCTGAAAGTCAAACAGTCTGATTTGCCAAAGATAGTTCTCACTACTGCAGGTGCCCAGAGAGCCTAGCGTGAAATCATCTACCTAGGACTCACATTTGGGATGTGTCTCTGTCTCTCACCAGATCCATGAAAGAACCCTGAGGGAGACGACCACTGGCATTTCTCTCGGGTGCCTGGGATATCACTGGGATGCCTAAGGTCACGCTTTAAAAATGTCTATCTGTGCCATCATTTCTTAGCCTCCCTGGGGTGAGAAGGATGTCTCACACCCGTGCTGGCCCCCTCTCTGACACCCACTCTATCTGGTTTTCTCTGTATTCTTAGCAAAGCCTTGTACCACTAAACAGGCACACACACACCATCACTGTCCTACAACCAAGACGAACGTAAAAGACCCAGGAAAAGTCTCAGGTGCAGAGGCTGACATCTGGCGCATTAACTAAGTGTTCGAGAGTAGTATTATTTACATCCCTAACCCAAGGGCACAGTAATTCATTGACCGTTACATGAAATGGTTTTTCAGCATCACCCAGCTCTTTCGTAGTAATTCCGAGTGGAGCAATTTTACTGTACTGGATTTAATCTAAGATATCCTGCCTTCACCAGATCATCACCTGGCTTTTCCCTTCTGTTTCTGAGCATGAAAAAGGGAAAAAAACTTACTGTGTTTTCCAAACTCACTTGATCAAGAAGTATGTGTGTATCTAGTTTGGGCATAGAGGAAATAATGCATTAAGACTGAAGGTGGGGGAATCCCATTAACAAGGAGAAATGCGCCTGTTTTAAAGGCTGGGAAGAACCTGGGACTGGCTTCTCTTCTTCCTGAGTTTATTTTTAATGATAGCCTGTGATGTCTAGTTCACATACTTTTCTCAGAAGTCTTGGAACTTTACAAACCAAGCTATAGTACCCACGGAGTGAACAGCTGCCATATAAGCATCACCTGCATAGATATTTAAGATTTATATCTTAATTTTATCATGAAATTTCCAAATTGGTAACCCATATTTTATCCAGTTTATGCATTAGTTTAAAATAATCAAAGCATTGAGTCATGCAAATATTGATCAATCCTGGTCCTTGCTGAAATAATTTAAACACCTCTGTGAATTAAAAGTTATTACCAATTATTGATGAGCACTAAGGAAGGTGGAAAAGATTAGCTTTTTAAATGATTACATTTGATAATAAACATGAAAACAAGATTTGAATCAATTATGCGCTATGATCAAGAGCAATTATTGATCTTTAACTGTATAGATATAAAATATTTGTCTGACAGTAGATAATACGAGCACCTTCGAACTTAAACACCGTCATCCCTTTTCTTGACGTGGAGATGGTCACCCCCAGACAATTCTCCACTAGTGCTGTAAGAACCCATGAGTGAGAAAAACTCAAAACATTTGAATATCAGGTATAACCCATAAAAAGCAGAAAACGTCTTCCATCATCCCTGCCAAGTTCTCATCCTTATTTTAAAGATTAGACATAAAATCAACCAGTAAAATCTGATCCATGGAATTTCTATGACTCTCAAGTGGCTCATTTTCTTTGAGAATTAAATGTTAGAAATATATATACTGTAGTCCAAAATAAACTAATCCATATTATCTAAAATTGCCACAGTAATTCCTTTCGGACAGCTTGTACACAGAAAGAATAGGTTGCTTTGTAAAAACGGCATGGGAAATGATGAAATATCGCTTATTTTTATAATCTTTGACAAGAAGTGAAAATACTATTTTCTGAAACCCAGGCAGACGACTCATTTTTATCACCTGCCAGAAGAAAAAGCATCTTTCGTAAAATTGAGCACCTGCCTACAGAATTCTAAATCTGTGTTTACATGGATTTAAGGACCTCAGGTAAACCACTGGAACAGAATGGAAATCTCCTCAGACAAGATCAAGCGGGGAGTAACCAAGCCTGAGCTCCACATGTCCTACCCGTGTCATACCCATGTCACAACAGCTTCCCTCTAGCTCAGTGTTTCCCAAACTTCAGCTTGTACCAGCTTCACCTGAAGGTGAATCACGCAAACACAGCCTGGTGGCCCCACTCCTAGAGTTTCTGATTCAGCAGGTTTGTGGTATGGCTTGTGACTCTGCATTTCTAACACCTTCCTGGGTGATGGTGATGACAGAAACCACACTGAGAGCTACTGCTCTGGCTTAAACCCTATAAGAAAGAGTATTTTTTTTACATAAGATACTCCTATATTTAGGCTTCTATGCCTTGGGAGTATTGTATAGATCGATCAGCCATTTAGACCATTTGTTCAAAAGTGTGGCCATCGTTTGGAACCCACACAGGCCACCCCTGAAGTCCACGGGGTAGGGGTGGAGCCGTCCTCTCTCATGGGCTCTGGTGGTTTCACCTGTGGCCTTCACTCTGTGTTGCTTCCACCTGCAGTGCAAGGATTAATTTTGGCTTATTTAACTACTTGTGAGTTGGCTCTGCAGCATGTCAAGAAAGTGGCCTTCTGGGGCTGGCCTGGTGGTGTAGTGGTTAAGTTTGAGTGCTCCACTTCAGTGGCCCAGAGTTTGCAGGTTCAGATCCTGGGTGCGGACCTATACACTGCTCATCCAGCCAGGCTATGGCGGCATCCCAGAAACAAAATAGAGGAAGATCGGCATAGATGTAAGCACGGGGCCAATCTTCCTCACCAAAAAAAAAAAGAAAAAAAGAAAAAAAGAAAGTGCCCTTCTGGTTATAAGAAAGCTGGGAGTCAAGAAACCATGTGAAGGCCCATCCTAAAACCATACATAGATGGGGTAAGAGGTGGCTGGTGTTGGATCAGGGCAGGGCCAAATTCCAACTTGGATACTTCCCAGTTGTTAAGGGATTGTGAAGGGAGGAAGAGAAATAGACACAATTTATGTTCTTTCTACTTTTGCACTGTGGATGATTCACTGACCTGGGAATGAGAATCAGAGCAATGGTAGACTTGGTGGTGGGAATAACAGATTCATTCAGTTGTCCAGGAGCAATTGGTTGGTGAGGCTCAGCACAAGAATCTGAGCTTCCAGAACACAAGAACCACAGCTTTTCTCTATTAACTTCAAGAGCAAGGAGGGAAGGCAGGCATGAACTCTAGATTTTACTTATAATAGCTAACTTATTACGTGCTTACTAGTTGCCATTTTACAGACAGAGAGAGAGACTGACTAATGTTCTATATTGTTATTTTGTTTTCTATCTTTAGATGAAGACTCAGTTACGCATTAATTGGATACCTCAAAGTAACTGTTACGTTAAAAAATTACATTAAAAAATTCACCCTCAACTTACCCCCTAATTGGAAAATTTCTGACTGCTGCCATTTTTAAAGACCACGTATATCCAAAAGGCCTCGTCCCCCTTTCTCCCACTGCTTCTGTCTGCCCAACATCAAAGCCCAAAGACCAGTCAGCACAAAAGAAATATTTCCAAAGAAAGACAGAACCATTTGATTAATAAACATGGGGAAAAAAGCATAAGCTCAGAATAAATTTCAAAAGATTCAACTTCAAATGAAAACTGAATCGTCAAAGCATGGAAAAACTTATGGCGCCATATTTCCGTTCCAAGCTATTTCTTGGACTTCTTTAGATTGTTCCTTTTCTTTAGTTTGCCCTTTAGAGAAACTATATGCATATATAAAACCCTATATGGAGATTTGTCAATTAGAAGCCAATAAGCAGGAAAATGAGAGAGATGATAATTCTTAAATAATATTTCGCCAAACCTTTAGAAAATTGGATCATGAAATAGAAAGAAAGCAAAACCTACGTCAAGTCTGTTTGCTTAATAGCACACTTCAGCCCTCTTCCAAGACCACAGTAGGTTTTTCTTTCAAAATTAAGCAATTCTACAAAAAGAGACTGTTCTTACCCTCATCCTCCCATTCCTTATGGCTGGCCCATCCTCTGCCAATCTCAACACGTACAAATCCATTTTGTACTCCCTTCCTCCACGAATGCTGAATCCAAATCCTTTGGCTCCTTTCTCCATGTCCACAGTGAAATAGTCAAAATCCTTCGGGGTTGGGGAGAAAATGGAATAAAAAATTGTTTAGTATCAGAGAAGCTTCTGTGATCAGCCCTTCTGCTGTCTTCTCTTTCGCAGTTAACGTCTTCCCAATGACACTGCGTTGTGAGAGGAAGTAACCTGACTTCACGGTCTAGCAAAATGCAAGACAAAACCCCAGAGGTTTGAGCAGATCAGACCCAGTTTACTGGGTCATTGAAAGAAGTGCTCTGTAGCTTCTTTGCTTTCGTATTCACCAGTTTACTTGGCAAACGTGTAATTATTGCATGTAGACCTGAGGGATATTCTCTCTCCTTTGAGTTTTCTCATCGCTGCTGTTGAGCCCATAAATAAGTGTATCAGAGTCACGAGTGTGTGTGTGTGAATGACAGGTTTGCTCATTAGAAAATGAGGTTTAATGGGGTCTTTGAGGTACCTGGGGCTGCCGGTAGTCTGACAGAGGGTACTGCCTGGTGTCGGGGGAGTGCTGCCTGTAGTCCAGCAGGGGAGGGTGCCTGTAGTCCAAGGGCGGCGGCTGCTGGTAGTCCAGTGGGGGCTGCCTGTAGTCGGTGAACGGAGGCTGTCGGATGTCTGGTTTCACATCTTGCCTCGCTTTTACTTCGGACCTGTAACTAAATAGATGGAAACGGGACTTGCTTTGGTATCTCAGCATTCTAAGGAGACTGGAATGATCGCATGACCTCCAGGCCCTCGTGGGCCACACCTCTTGATGGTCCTTTTCCGTTTTCAGGAGCATGAAAAGATTCAACAAATGGTAAGCATTACTTTTAAATCGTTGACAAATGCCATATGGTATCCTTTTCATTTGGCTCCTTAAGAAATCAAGGTAAAAATGACGGTTCAACCAGAACTTTGTGGAAAAGGATTATGGATATCCCTCTTTGACATTGGCTGCTTAAAAACTACAATTGCAGCAAATTTAGGGAGCTAAACACTTAACTATACATCCCAAAATATCAGTCTGTCTTAACACCAGGAAACCAGCTCTCTCCATCTCTCTCTCTGTGTCTCACACACGCACCATTCATTACTTCATGAAAACATGATCGCAGTATTTCTGAATACTTTACAAATACATAATTAAAGGCTGTTTTAACTTGCTAGGTAGGATCTTTTTGAATATATTACAGAGGTTATAGGAGAGATAGTAAGGTATAATCACCACGTACAGATCAGGTAGAAAGTCACTGGGTCATTGCTAAGAGGAGAGACACATTGTGTAGAGATTAACTACGAGACCACAGCTAATGGGTTAGTGTCAGATACTACCATGGGCATGAGGTGGAAGGGAAGCCAAGATGTTTATGTCCAACGTTTGTCTTTTTCTTGTTTCTCGATATTAGTTACTGATAAAATAAATACAGAGACTGGTATGAGTTGTTTAGTGCTCTTTTGTGAATCCAAACTGCTCTAAACTGAGGAGATTCCCAGTTCCAAAAGGAGATTAAAATAGCCAGTGCCTGCCATTATGGGATCATGAGTAAGGTAAGCCAAAAAACTTTCACCATAGTAGAGAAGCCACTTAATTCTGTGGTTCATTGCCAATTGCCACAATGATGGTCTATAATGAGCTACCCAGGGATGTAGGAAGATTAAAAAATACATTCTACACAACAATAATTTTATCTAAAATTAATATGGAGGGTTTGAGGGATTGAGAAACTATTTAGTACCAAGGAAAAACTCAAATGTGTTATGAAAACAGGTTCAAAACCGGTAGAATTTTTACCTTTAAGACTAGATTTTTTTTTTTGCATTTTACTGGCTGATGATGGTCTCACGGATGCTGACTAGTATTAAATATTTAAAACAGTCATTCACCTGAACAATTTCCATTAGCATAATCTAATATTTGGTGAGGACACACTGAAAGTGGATGGCAGCCGATGTATTTATTTGGGGTTTTTGGATGGAGGTTAGTGATGTAGTTATTTCAATCAATGCTTTGAGTAGGTCCCATTTGTTACCTAACCTGCAGAAGCGACATACTCCTTCTATGAGTTGCCCTCTCCCCCAGTGAGAGTATGTATGCTGAGAACAGAATTATTTAAAATATGCTTTGAATGAGATGCTTAACTATGCAAATGCATGAATTAAACAAAAGGAATTGAACTGAGTGACATTTGTTGGTGCGTGTGGGTTCCTTTCTAGAAATAGCTTGCCTGATGGTTTAGATGTCACTTGGTTTTAAGTTCCAGCCCCGTCACTTTATTTTCATTATTGGTGTGATATGGGTATGAAATATCCATCATGTGCTCCGTTTCTAACCAGATGTGTCACGAGATGCAGCAAAAGAGGGTGAAGTGGAAGAGTCCCCCCGAGATGACACGAAAGCTTAGAAATAGGAACGGGGAGAACTCGCAACAGCTGTCATGGAAGCCTACGTACGTTCCAGCGCCCAGACTTCATTCTACCTCAGGGCCAGGCGTCAGGATTTTGCGAGCTGCACATTGAACAGCTCTTTAACAAGAAAAATATGCTCAATTTTTTATGAGTGTTGCTAACTTTTAAGTGAAGATACACCGGCTAGGGCAAAAATTATGTTGTTTTGAATTTGTGAAACACTTTATTTAAGGAAAACACAAGATTATTGAAGTATTATTAACCTCTTTCAAGTTCCTTTACTTAAGTAAGAAGGTCATCAGTATAACCCTTCATAGCCATTAACTCCTTTATTAAAGTGACTTTAGAGATGATAAAACTAGATTGCTAACAGTAAATTCTAGCAGAATTTTATGCTATAAACAAGTTCCAGAACCAAGAAACACTGTCCATGTGGCAGGGGATCTTATGGCGGGATTTTGCCTTATGTGAGCCTTTCAAGAATTCCTTCCAGCCTTAAGGGTTTAAAGTCTGTGAAGGAAATCTACTTCCAGGGCTCTTCCACTGACCTCGCTCTTTAAAATGCAGTCAAATATCAACTACCTTTGCTGAGGGAGGTGAATTCTGCTATTCACATTTAGTTTTGGAATATTTACATAATGGCTCTTCTGTTGTTTTCAACAAACGCTTCTCCTTGAATAAGTGTTTTGCTTATGCCCATATTAAAATTATTTTGTGTTTCCTGAGCTCACACCAAAAGAATGTTATGGGACAGAGACATGGGTAGAGGTATGCGGGGTGTCAGCTGGAAGCCAATCGAAGAGTAAATAAGACAGGATAAAATATTCACTCATTCTAACTCAAAAAATGAAAATTTGCAAGCAGATTGTCATTTTATTTTGTCGCTCTTTAACATGGGAGCTGGCTTAGTTTGACATGTAGGTGGGGACTTCCTGTACAAATGAACTAATAAGAAATTCATACAGGGCTGGCCCAGTGGCTTAGTGGTTATGTTCACACACTCTGCTTTGGTGGCCTGGGGTTGGCAGGTTCAGATTCTGGGCATGGACCTACTGGTCAAGCCATGCTGTGGTGGTGTCTCACATATAAAATAGAGGAACATTCACACAAATTTTAGCTCAGGGACAATCTTCCTCAAGCAAAAAGAGGAAAATTGGCAACAGATGTTAGCTCAGGGCCAATCTTCCTCACCACAAAATAAAAAAAATAAAAATAAAATTCATACTGTGTGCTTGGCATACAAGTTGTCTTGGAGACATCTCTAGCCTAGAAAAAGGCAAAGAATTTTCTCTCTGATACCATGACCATCTTTAAATGCAGCCAGGAAAATGGTTCTAGTTTCTGTAAGATTATTGGATCTCTTGATTCCTATGCAAATGAGCCACCCACTAACAATGGAAGAGTGGAGCTGGGAATCCTGAGTGCCAGGAGAAGGCCCTAGGACTGGAGTGGGCCCTTCCCAGGCTATTAATATTACTGAAGCAAAAATACCCAAGAACTCTAGACAAATTTGTTTGGTTATTATAAAACTTTGGATCAGCTCAATCCGTTAACCCCAGAGTTAGGAAATATTTTATTGTGTATTCAGGCAAAAAAATGATCCAAACACCACTGCACCTGTGATGGGGCTGAATCCTGGTTGCGAGCTAGTAGCAGATGGGGACAGGACAGTGGCCTCGCCCAATCGTCATTCTCCCCACTGAACTATGCACACCGGGGGTGACAGTGCCCTCCCCAAGGCTAGAAGCAAGAGCCCATCTCAAGGGAAATGAGACTCTGGAAAGGAGAAGATGGGACTGGGGCTGGGAGGTTAATCAACAGGGGCAGAGCCAAGAAGAAGAGTCTGAAGCTGGCCGAGGGCTGCTGGAAGGCTCAGATCCTTCCTCCTGAGGCTGAAATGAGTCCTGGGGAAAGCAGGTGCAATCTGTCGAAATGACACGCGGTGGAAGAGAACACATCTGGGGCTTATTACCGAGGGACCTGGGCTTGCTCCTCTTATAGAGCATCAAACTCTTACCTCTAGCATTTGCTTTATGGGGCTTAGTCGCTTTTCTTCCCTGGAATATATTAAAACCATAAACGGCTGAGGACAACAGACATTTACTTTTCTGTGAGAGCGAATGAGGGACATCAGAATAGAACAGGGCTTTATGGAAATGACACCTGTGGTGGGGGAAAATATTTGCTTGGCTACCATGTGAGTGATGAACCTAGAGAGTTCTGGGACTCAAAAACTGGGTGTCACTTAGATCTTCCCCAACGGGGAAGGCAGGAGATGGGAAGCAGATGTTCAGAAAACATTAGAATCATGGAAAAGACTGGCGAGGATTTAGTGTTCAGAGATGTCCCCATGGGCTGTCCTGTTTTTCTCCTTCGAAAGGGAGAAAACAACATGGGAACATGTCTTCTTGCCCGTCTCTAATGGCTCAACCCAACCCAGGCTCCCCATTACACACAAGTCACAATGAGAAGACAATGTTATCTTTATATGGCATCCTTTTTTTCTGGAATTTCAAAGTGCCTTATTCACAGAAGCGCATGATGTGGAATGAAAGAACCTCACTAGATCGTGGGTGGGCGGAGATAAAAGTGCAACGCAGTAAAAATGCTAACGTTCATTAATGCTTTCAAACCCTTCAACATTTCCCCTACTCCACACCCTCGTTACTTTCAAGCCATTACCTTTGTGGCTCAGTGGACACTGGCAGCCACTTCTAACTGCTTAACCTGCATTCACCTTGACCAGCCTCCAGTCTTTTCTCTGTGGGGTCAACTGAGATGGTGGAAAGCAAATCCGGTGATGTCAGGCCTCAGTTTAAATCCCTCCAGTGACTTCTCACTACCCTTAAGATCAAAATTTTTTTTTTTTTTTTGAGGAAGATCAGCCCTGAGCTAACATCTGCTGCCAATCTTCCTGTTTTTGCTGAGGAAGACTGGCCCTGAGCTAACATCCGTGCCCATCTTCCTCTATTTTATATGTGGGACGCCTACCACAGCATGGCTTGCCAAGCGGTGCCATGTCTGCACCCGGGATCTGACCTGGTGAACCCTGGGCCGCCGAAGTTGAACGTGCACGCTTAACTGCTGTGCCACTGGGCCGGCCCCAATATCAAAATCTTTAACTTGCCTACAGACCTTGTAGGGCGGGCCCCTACCACCCTCACAGGCTTCATCTCAAACCATGGTCGCTCCGCTTAATCTCCACTATGTGGCCTTATTTCCCTCCATCGTGCTTACCTGCTCCCTCTTGCCAAAGGGCCTTTGAACATGTGCTCCACTCTGTCTGGACTCACTTTAATGTGCTCTTCAGCTAGTAAACCCCTGCTCATCTGCAATCGCTCATCATTTCTTCCGAAAAGCTTCTCTCATTGTGAAGGACAGACACTTGTATTTGCTAATAAAACCACATTTATAACATACACACAGTCTCCAAATCACACAAAGGCACACATGGCAATTTCCACTTTATGAGAATCTCTCTCCTGCCTGTGTCCCGTCCTGTCCCCACTTCTCCCTCTCCCAGCCTCCCGCACCTCTCAGGATCAGAAAAGCCAGTGGAAACTTTACCTATTTTCATGTCCTTGCAGCTGAAGTGGCTGAGGAGGAGCTGGCTGGGCGACCGGACTGTTGGGGGTGGCCGGGCTTGGCTGGGCCAGGGGGCTCTGCTGGGCCGAGGGGCTGTGCTGCTGCGCCATGGGGCTCTGCTTCTCCGAACTGGGCGCCGAGGCTGGGCTGTTGAGCTCTGCAGTGGGGAACCAAGCGTCAAATGCAGACACACTGGCATCTCATGAAGGGCAGAAGGTGGCCGGAGGTGGAAACTCTGCCTTGGCAGATGGCTCAAGGCTCTGGTTATTTCAGTGTCTGCTAGGCCTTAAGACAGCAGCTTTAACTTCTCAAGCTCCAACACCACCCCCAGAATTAGTATTCTTTTGTTAATTCTAACGGTTTCTGCGCAAAGTTATGAACAGATTCTCTTGTCTTTTTGTCAAAAGAAAAGATTACAATAAAGAAAAATCTGGGAAAACTATGAAACAATAATTCAAAGGACTGAGCTCTAAAATATACGGTATTTTCCCAGCATTGCTGGCCGAGAGAAATCATTATAGCCGCTGCTGTTTGGTTGTAACAAGAATCTTACCACTATTCCAAAGTTTGGGAAAGGAACTAACCATAATAACAGAAAATGGTTTGTGCCATCTTTTCTCAGGCTCCTTGTTAGCCTCATTGCCTAATTACTCTCCGTACCCGTGGTTCTCCGGGAAGAAGAAAGAACCCTGGACAGAGGAAGGTTCATAAACTTGTTCTCGGTCTAAACTCCATTTTGGCCTTTCTTGTAATAGCATCAAATTTTCAACTGAAATTATCTATATTGGATTAAGGGCTGGACGTATTTCAGACTGGGAGAATGGAGACGCAAGTCAGAGTTTTTGTGAGCAATCCTGCTTAGAGTTAATTTCCATTGAATGTTTTACACATAATGGTGTCTGCAGATAACGGGTTCAAAAAACATGGTCATTTTCTCGTCTTTTGGTTGGGTGACAAAAGGGAAGTGATCCCTTAGCAATCCCTTATAAACCACTCTTCTCCTTTCTTTTCTCACGGCCCAAATTTCTAAATTTCTTCTCCCCTTGCTTCAGGGTTTCCCAGCCTTGCCACTGTTGACATTTTGAGCCAGATTATTCTTGGCTGTGCAGGGTTGTCCTGTGCGTTGTAGGATGTTTAGAAGCATCCTTGCCCTCTACCCATCAGATGCCAGTAGCATCCTCACCCCAATCACAATCAAAAATGTCTGCAGACATTGCCAAATATCCCCTGGGGGGACAAAATCACCTCACTTGAGAACCACTGTTTTATGTTTAAAGTCAGGTGGCTGTTTTCTGCCTGCTTGTGAGATAGTCTCAAGATGGAATCAGGAGACTGAATGAAACCGAGGGAGGGGACCAAGGTGAGTGAGCCTTATCATTCTCCATGTGGGACACCGTGCTCCACTCACCAGTGAGCTCCAGCCCCTGAATTCTCCAATATCACTAATGAGCCAGCAGCTACGAACTAGCAGCGATCCCGCCGTGTCTGGAAATGGTGAGTTCCTGGGGAGCTGGTACTCAGAGCTCCGTGGCCCCTTGAGGCGTGGCTGTGAGTTGTGATGCTTACACTCTTCAAGCCTCAGGGGGGAGTCCTTGTACACAGAAATTCCAAAGGCTAAGAGGGAACTTTAAAATTCGTATCAGATGCAACATTTTCTAAATGAGCTCTCTTTATACCACGAAACTTCCTCAAGCTTTTCAAAATCAATGTGACTGAAGAATCCTCCAGAGCTGAACCATTAACATGAATACATTGTGTGTGTGTGTTTTTTTTTCCTTCAGATTTGTGATTCTATCTTCTCTGTTGAATGGCTTCTGGCTTAATATAATCATAAAAACAGTGATCCCAGGCCCATAGGGAATGATGGAATACCCCAGTGTCTTGGGACTCGCACTATTTATCTATGATGTCACGTAGCTTGCTCTCTGAATGAAACTGGCACTGAGTAAACAAGACACGGGTTGCAGGAGAGTGTGAATTTTTGCTAAAGTGTAAATAACAGTCAACCTCTGAGCTCTGACATCACCCTGATGGCACCAAGTGGTCTCCCTGCTCCCCGCTCGGGCACTCACCCTCCTGAGGAATGATGCGAAGGGTCACACTGAGGCCCGCATCCTTGATGAGCTTCACGATGTCCGCGTGAGGCATGTTGATAATAGACTGGCCATTCACTGCTAAGATCCGGTCTCCCACTTTCAGTTTTGCACAGCGATCTGCAGGACTCCCATCAATGATGCGTCCGATCTTATGGGGCACAGCTGGAAAAATCCCCAACAGAAATAGGCGTCAGGGGCGTGACCAATACACATTCTGTCTTTGAGTCCCAGCCCCACAGGAAACAAGGCAATGTCGGAATGCCTTCTTTTGTCGATATATTTGCCCTTGAAATCCCAACCATTCCTTTCAGATGTGGTCCTGTGCATACTCCTGAGACCAGAGTTTCTAATTCAAGTCCTTTGCAGTGACAGGCCAGTTCCAAACATGTGGACCAGGGTCTCTCTACCATTGGGGTGCACCATCCTTGCCCTAGGCTTAAAAATACAGCTCTTTGGGCCTTATCCCAGACCTTGTGAATCAGAATGTTCAGGCAGGAGCTGAGGGTGATGCGTTTTTAAGAAGTTCCTCAAGAGATTCCAACACATACAAACTTGTGAGAACCCCAGACATAGAGCACTGTGCCTAAAGAGCTCCTGCTCTAGGGGCAATAATACGCAGTTCCAGAAAGACACAATAAGTGCCGGGAATTTAATTTCTACCCTTTTATATTTTACTGAGAGAGGGAAACAGGAAAGGAAAGACATACATATTCAAATGGGCAGTAGCCGGCCGGTAAACACGTACAATCAGCTTCCCACTCATCCACTAAGCGTTAGTTTAAAAGTTGATGCGGTTTTCAGATCTTACCTCTTCTGTCTGATTTAATGTATGAGGTGGCGTTGAGACCCTGTTAATATCTGATACATATGTATTTCATCAAATCTAAGATGCCAGCAATGCAAAGACACACCTTTATTTTATACACCACAAGAAAGAAAAAAACCTGCCTATTGAACAGGGACACTCCACTGACTGTAGGATGCTCTCTAGTTTTTGAGATACTAAAATATGGAAAATGTGCATGGAATTGATGAAATATGGCATACGTCTCTTTGAAACAATGAAACTTTCTTTTTAAATTGTTTATTTATATGTGTGAGGAGAGCCAGGTACGTGGCGATATAGATTTTCCAGCAGGTTGACTTCTAGTCAAGTCCATGGTTAAGTGCCTGCCAGGTTCGCTATTTCCGGGGTCAGACATCAATAGCACACAGTGTCCTGTAAACTCTCTCAAGGAACTTACAAGCTAGAAACCTGTTCCCTTCTCCCTTCAATACAGAGAACCTTGGCCAGGACATCACCTGTCAATGACTTGTTGCTCCCTCCATGGAGGTGAGGTACTGATTTAATCCGCATAAAGTCAAAGACACACTCCACCATTCACTATGCTCTGGGGGCACCTGCTCTTGAACTCTCAATCCACATATGCCTTACAGCGAAAGGCAGAACACAGGCTCACAGCCCTGGGAAGGAAGGACACTCAGTGAGTTAATGAACCAGCACCTTGATCATATTTCTGTTGCGAAAGGTTATAGACAGCATATGAAAATATTGCCTGAGCCTGTCTTGGAAGTGAAACTCATCGTGTTGGAAGCTCAAACACGTTTTGATTTATCACAGGTGCTAATGGCTTTATTGAAGAACACTGACTTAAAGCACGCTCATGATCATCTTGGAGTCTTAGGACAGTATATTTCTCAGGTAGAACTATGATAAGAAACATAATAAGAACTCACTCATTTACTTATTTTATAAAATAATATGGGTATTGCAAGGTGTATGGGCTTCAAACATAACCAGAGTGAACTTTCCTTGCTGTTTTCTCCTCGTTCCATGTTCAACAGTGTTCCTGGAACAGTCAGTAAAAGATACGGTCTCCCTGGCCATAATGTGTATATTGTTATCTATTCTGTGACCTTTGGAAAGATACCTAACCTCTCTGAGTTTTGGTTTTGCACCAATAAAATTGGGATAATAATATGTTGACTTCACAGGATTCTGGTTCTGAGAATTAAATGCTATCGTATGTAAAGTGACTAGAAGAAGCCTGGCACGTAAGAACTGACCTATGCATATTAACTTTTCTTTCTCTCTTTCTATTACTATTACCTTTTTAATGTTACTGATGTCACTATTGATGTGTGCGTGTGCTTGTACAGAGGTACCAGCTTGAATTCTGTCTACATGGGATAAACTTGTAATACTGCTCAAATGGAAGGAACGCGTTGCTTCCTACAGAGCAAAATCCCCTAAGAATCAACACAAGAAAACAGCTTCACTTGGGAAAGAGAGATGTGTTTTGGGGGATTATATAGTCACCAGAAGAGGCCAAGAATCCTGTTTGTTTTTCTCTGGTTTCACAAAAAAGATGTTGCGGGTCTCCATAGGAAAACACCAACTTGTAAGTAAGAGTTTATCATCCAAAGAGAAATCAGCATGATACAGATCTCTTCATTTTCTATATTGAGCCTTACACTCACACACACAATTATAACTACAGTAATATATATAATTGAATCCTTCACAGATCATATGAGATACCTGATAGTGTTATCAGTGGAAGGAACTGAAGCATAAAGTGCAGAGCAATTCGCCCAAGATCGCATAGGGTGACCTTGGGTTTAGAATCCTAGTCTGTCAGATTTCCCAGGGTTTGCACCTTACTGTGTCCTCCCTCCACTCAAGCACTTGGTTCATGAGCGTCTGTGCTTTTATTCTGTGAGAGCAGCCTGGCTCTGAGCAGGGAATCGTAAACACTTCACCCATGGCCCTGACCCAGGGGAGGGTGGGAGGCAGGCACTTTGCTTGAAGTGGGTTCTCTGTGGCAGCTGTCTTTGACAGGCAAGGCGTGAGGAGGAGAGGAGGGGAGAGAAAGGGAGAGGAAAACTGGACCGCCCCTCAGATCCTATTTAGCTGGGACTTCACATCATAGTGTCATTCCTTTATTTGAAGTAATTTCTTTGCATATTAGAGACACTCATATTTGAAAGGAAATTTAAAAATATACTTTAAAACATATACAAATGGTATTTGGATGATTTGCTGTTTTGAATTGTTCTTGTCTCTGCTCCCTTCCATTACTGCAAATCATCTAGAATTTACTGGGCATAAAACCCCCAAATGTTTCAAAACATAGATTTCACACACATACATGCGCGTGCGCGCGCACACACACACACACACACAATTCTATGTGCCCAACAGCAATAAGTTGTTATTGGTTAATTTCCAGGCACTGTGCTAGGCACTTATTTCAAATCCTTACAGTAACAGCGTGCAGAAGCTGTAAAAGTGTAATAATCATGCCTATTTTACTGCTGAGAAAACAAATAAGTATCAAACCCAGGATTCAAACCCGTACCTATGGCTTCAAACCTCGGGGTCACTCCCTTCTTTTTTGATATGTGGTAGATTGAAAGCTATTTGAATTATGAAGAGCGAGGGAATGGCTTAGAAAAGCATGCTGCTGGAGATTTCAAAAGGAAAGTTTCATTGTAAACAGAATTATTTGCATATGGTGATAACTCTTAGTTTCAAGGCCATTTTCACTTTATTAGGGGAGGTAGAATAAAAACTAAAATAAACAAATAAAAACCAAGATAAAAGAATGAAAACTAAAATAAATTCTATGGCAGCCACACAGAAGGATGGAGCGGCTTACATAAAATCAGGAATGAGTACACAATTTACAAAAATGTACATCCAGTAACTGGAAGTACCTGATGTCGTTTTATTAAAAATTGTTTTCTATTGGCATTTACCTTAATAGAAACAGTACTCAAAACTCTTGGCAGCCAAAGACAGCCTCACTTTTTCTTTACTAGCATTTTCCTGACATGTAAGTACATCGAATGTTGATGTACAAATCATTGACAAGGGTGTGCTCAGAAAGGATTCACTCTCAAAACAAGACGCAGTTCCATTTGCTCAGTGATAAGGTCGACAGAGCTTACGACCTAAGTGCTGTCCGTGCATTGCTAATGGAATTACAGAGCATGGAAGAGGCCCTGACCTTGGTTTCTATTATTGGGATGAATGGTACTCATTAATTCTCTGAGAATTGATGACTAAGGCAACTGCCAGAGCACAGTCCATTTAGACTGCATGCCTTGCAGACATCACCTGTCAGGCAGCAACACAAATCAAGTCTTTGGATCAGTCTGCTTAGTATACACCGATATTTGGGAAAAGGTGCAATATGTCATGTGACTTTGGACACACTGACATTTGGGAAGGAGGTGACGTATTAGTAGTTAGAAATTTTCCTTTAATTGCAAATCACGTAAATTATGGAAAAAGAAACCTATCTTTTCCTATTCTTGACTCGTTTCTGGGTAAAACACTGCTGTACATTTTTACAGCACTATGTTTTATATTTTCCCATAGACGAAGCGACTCTTCTGGTGCCACTCAACATGGCGCACTTATTTCAGTAGGAATATTCAGAGACAATCAGTTGGACTGGATGCTCTCTAAGTTCATTCTAGAGACTTGAGTTCTTTGGGTCTTTAGCCACACCACTACAGGAAGCAATGCTCCTTCCTTTTTGCTGTTGAGTTCTCTTCTGGGACCTTCATAGGGTCCATTGAGGCTCCTTCAGCCATTGGTCAACCAAGGAGCTCGTGTTGAGTCCTGCCTTAGGTCAGTTCCCATCAAGAAGATGGGATGGTTGCCTGAAGGACTTTTCTGGCTTTGGGATGGATTTGTCCCAGAAATTTTGGTGATGGACTCTTCTTGAAATTCTTAGTTGCACCATCCTCAGGGAAGAGAGTAGTAGATCCCTCATCACTTTTTTTTTAAAAAAATATTTCTTTGTTGTTTTATGTGTATTTTATGTCAGAGAAGGAAAAGCTTGAGACATGTTTACATTTAATTATCTCCTTGTTAATAGATCCCACAAAGCAGAGTTGTATTTGAAGGAAAGCGTTAGACAGGGAAAGTAGATTCTGCATCAATCATGTTAAACTTACAAGCGAGAAGTTTCTGAAATGAGCGTGACAAAAATAAATACTTCAAAGGCAATAAATAGCGTAAACTCATTAGCTCACAATTCCATTAATTTGTGAAGGTTAAACATGTCATGGGCTTAAGGTAAGTTGGTTTCCATTTAGAGTCTATGACCTGATATGAAAATAAATTTTTTTTAATTGGATGATTCCAG